TGTGGTTGCAGTTCCGGTGGTGGTTATGCTTGTGGTTCTAGTTTGTGTTTTTCTTGCTGCGTTTCTTGTTATTATTTATTTTTGCTGCAAACCTCTTCGTCTTCAAGCTAGTCGCAGTCGTTGTGTCCGGACCCATTTAACCTCGCCGCTCGTCTCGCCGTTCTTCCATGGACGGCAGTCTCGCCTTTGGTGCCAATGGTGCAGTGCCAGGAAGCGCTGGAAGCGCTCTCAGCGCTTTCCATGAGGAATCCTGGACACGACTGGAACGGACGTGTTCAGGTCCTTCTGAAGCATCCGGAATAAGGCTCCACGGTCACGTGGAGCTGTTCCACGAAGTGCTCACCGCCGTGAAATGCCTGAGTTGCAAGGTGGAGATGCTGGAGGCCAAGATGGACATAAGGCACCAAGAGCTGGGTGATAAGCTGGAAAGCCTGGAAGCTAAGGTGAAGACATATCACCAGGAGTTGCTTCAGAAGCTCACCACTTCCTGCTTCGCGATAGAGTGCAGTGGTCTGAACAAGGAGGTTTCTCCCGGGAGTTTTCAGGCGGTGCACCAAGACGATCTGAAGGCAAGAGCTGCGACTGAGAAGGAGAGTTGGACAGATGCCAGGATCGCCAAGTTGGAAAGCTTTGTGGAACAAATGAAGCAGGAGAAGATGCCACTTGCATGGCAGAAAACACATGTGTCTTTCAAAGTTCAATGGACATATGATTATAGTGTCTACCAGATCTTTCACAATGTACCTCTGAGTACAACCCCTCGTCAATTGCTACCAGAAGTGGGCAAAGCATTTCGAACGCAAGTGGTGAAGAACCAGGAGGAACTTGACCAATGTTTGGACAAAGAGCCTTTGTTGATGCTGGATGGTTTCAACTTGAACCTCTTTCCAGATACTCCACTGGCCGACTTGGGTGTGCAAGAGTTTTCGAAGATGTGGTTGACATCTGAGTATGGTTTTCAGAACTGATCAACGGCTTTCAGAACATCTCAACATCCTGAAGGCACTTCCTGTCCGGCACAGGCCGAGTGAAAACTTGCTGTGAAAGGCGTGATCTCTGAGTCCGAAATTGAGAGAGTCGTTCCACTTGCATACATGTCATGCTCCAGAGTTGTAGAAGCAGACATTTGATGGCACACCAGATGCCAAGGAATAAATAGATCAGTCGATCGTTCCGTGGAAAACGGATGATAAGGAAGGAATCCATCAGCGCCTGCATACAGTGAGCATATTGTTGCATGCAAGATGTGAATGCCATCCCCAATATAATATATGCATACCTTCGCCAAACAATCTATACTTCCAGTAGCTACAGTAAGCTTTGATCAACAAAGGCAATAAATAGTTTGACGGAGAGCTACCTCCAAGACACACACACACACACATCAGACCACTTCAGGGGCTGAAAGGATGTTTACTTGCTATGTGCTTCAGATCATCCAGTTGGGTATGTGACGCTTCATCCCCATTGGAAGACAACAATTTCCTGAAAAGGGAAAATAGATGAACCCCTTTTTGACCCTTGAGAGTGGTTATTTAGTTGGCCTGCGGAGGAGGCATATTGTATAGATGTCCGCAAGACAGGTAAACATGTGTGTAGGGTTTACCCTTTAGTTTCATAATATTATTCAAAATTGCTGTTGGACATTGAATTGACGTGGCTGGTTGAGGGGAGAAGAAGATCTCTGTGTCTTACAAACGCATCATCTCACAGAGACGCTGGTGAAGCACCAATCCTGTGCAGAGATTGGTTTGCACAAATTCGTTAGTCATGGTGACTGCGCCATCTACAGAACACAACAAACAAGTAGCTCATGGTCATATCTTTTGACCATGGTTTGGAGCCTGCTGTGTTGTTTGGTAGTGACCCACAAGAAAATCAATATCGAACAGTTTGTTCATGTCCAGTTTGCACTTGCCTAGGTTATTGAACACGCGATTCACAAGCAAACCAAGATCAGGATCGTCTTTGCAGCCGCCAGGACCGCCAGGACCACCGCCGAGCACCTGGACCGCCTGGACCGCCTGGACGGGCCAGCTCGAAGGAGCGTGCTGCGGGAGAGAGCGGAGCTGGGCGGAGCTCGAGCTCCGTGAGGCCGCCCGTTGGGTGGCACCGGGATGCGTCCGTGCCACCGGGCCGTCCGAGTCTTTGTTTGTATACGAAGCAAGAAACGCTGAAACCACGAGCGATCGTTAGAAGGTTTCTGAGTTGAAAGTTGAAAGTTTCGACATGTATAACTTGTACTATAACTTGTAAGTGTTCTTTTTGCAATTTGGTGTGCATGATGATTTCAACTGGGAGGGTTGCTGTTCGATCAGTTGAAGTATTGCGTTGGTGCTGTTCCTTTCAACCCTTTTCTTCTCTTCGATGAGCGCTTTCTTCTCTTCAACCTGGTCTAAGCGACGTCGGGAACCCCGGCGAACATGAACTTGTTGCTGGTTGCAGCCTGGCGTTTCAAGTGCTAGTAGAATAGAGTGACCACGTGAGGTAGAGCCATCTCGAGCCTTTGGACAGTTGTTTGTTGATCAGGTTTGACAAGTGTCATCATTGAGGCATGTTGCTTTCTGGGCGTTCTGCTTGTTCCAATCAACATGCTTCTGCCGATCTACATGTGTATGTCACTGCTTTTGAGCAACTCAAGGTCCCAGACTTTACCATTCCGATTTATGCATTCCGCCCGGATGGAATCGGCTGGTGAAGAGCAAGAGATTGCTTCGAGTGACGGTTCCTGGGCCAAGGTCCGTTCCAAGTCTTCCAAGGACGACGTGCTGCTGAGCAACATTGACCTGCTCACGATGGCTGTGAAGGGCCTGAGTTCCAAGGTGGAGATGCTGGAGGCCAAGATGGAGACCAAACACCATGAGCTGGGCGAGAAGTTGAACACCCTCGAAGCCAAGGTGAAGACACATCACGAGGAGCTGCTTGAGAAACTCACCACTTCCAGCTTTACCCAGATGGAGTGCAGCCAGAAAGGAGAGGTTACATCGAAGAGCTTCCAGATGGATAAGATGCACCAGGACTTGATGGAGAAGCTTTCGACTCTCGAAGCTGAAACAGCCAAGATGGAAGAGGCCAAAGAAAGGATTGCCAAGTTGGAGAGCTTTGTGGAACAAATGAAGCAAGTGACAGTCAGATCTCCGCCAAAGAAAACCCACGTGTCCTTCACAGTTGACGGATCGCAATATGATTGTGTGCCTCTCAGTATGACTGCTGGCAAGTTGATGGAAATTGTCCTGAAAGAACGTCGCCCACTGCACATTGCTAAAAATTGGCTGCTGGACATGAATGGGCTTGCCCTGAACCTTTTTCCTGATACCCCGATTGCAGACCTGGGAGTAACGGAAGGAACACAGATGCGTCTTCAAAAGGAGTTTAGTGTAATTCATTGATTATAGAACAAGCCGAGAGATTCAACTTGTCATGCTCCAAAGTTTAACTAATTACCTGAAATGGCACACAAGATGCCACTAAAGCACGTTTGGATGCTTCCTTGAACATCGTGATGCAGAGACCCGGCAACAAGCTAATGCAACAAGACTTGTCATGATATTCCGTGTATCAGGAACCCATCTTCACACTTGCTTTGAACGATCCCCACTGCCGCGACGAAGCGAGACCTTTCCAACCATAGAGCATAGACAAGTGCATTCTCCACTGGATTCCGTTGATGCATCTGATTCGATGTCAGCATCATTTTGACTGCAAACGCAAGATCGGACATTTGAGGTGCCGAGAAAAGGATCTTCGCGCGCGGCGACCGTCCCAAAACAGCAACCCATAGGGGGTTGCGAGGGCTTTCGATGATGATGATGATGATGATGATGATGATGATGATGATGATGATAATGATAATGATTTGTTCCTTGCAGAAGGGTGCCTGCTTATCAGATTCAGTTCACTAGTGTTTACCTTCTGAGCAGATTCTCCTCTGGCCTGGCAGTTGTTGCCGTGTCCTGAACCTCCAGATGGGCAACAGGTAGCTTCACTGTCCTGCCATTATGAATTCCTCTTCAATCACGCAAGAGATCTGAAATCCGATTTTTGCATGCCCTCACCAACCAAAGAAGTCTGTAGATGTGGTGTCCGCACCACTCCCACGACAACGACCATGCTTCAGGGTCTTCCCACCTTGACATGAGACAAAACCAGCCACTGCGATTGACAGAGCCATCCACAGCTTAAGGGCGCCTCGCCCACGCCCCGCGCCTCCAAGGTCGTGAAGATCTCACCGAGATTCTGTCGTTGGACGATGTTGGACGGTACCAATCTGCCATTGTTGGAGGATTTTGTGGCTCAAAGCCTTCGTGATTTGAGCCGAGACAACGACGGTTCCGTCCTCACTGAAAGAAAGAGGTTTCATATGGATGAATTTGGATCGTTCAAAGTATTTCCCTCACTCACAATTGAAGTTCCCACTGGAATTGGAAGATGCAGGAGACGCAGAGAGTGCGTGGCTTGCTGCCAGAAGCTCCTCCTCCGCCCGCCCCAAGTGCTGCTGCGAGAAAGGGAGCTCCTTCGAGTGCTGCGGATCGCGGAGTTTCGACGTTTTTGTTGGTCTCCTCAATGTCTCGGGATGCTTAGTGAGAGGCCTTGGGATGTTTTGTTGGGTTGGTTTTCCACCTTAAATTCCTGAAGACCTGAAGGCAGCGAAGTCACTCACTCCTTGGTTTTCCTGCTTCCCACGCCGGACCTGGCAAGTTTTTCCGCTGGGTTTGATTTACACTGGTCAGTAGAAGTTCACAGAAATGCAACAGCTAGTATTAAAAAGTCAGCCGAATGAAGTACCTCGTATCCAATGAGATGAGTGTGTGAATGTGATTGGTGGGCACCTTAAGAATTGAGATTCATGTGCCTACAGTTATACATCATCAGTGGATATTTTGTTGGGTGTTGGAGTTGCTGCACTTCATCTTTTCTGCGTTTCAAACACGCATCATACCGAAGACAGACTGCAGACAACTGACATACAACGCAACATACCGAAGGCGAGTCCTGCACAGGTGGGTCTCTTCTTGGCTCACATGGGCTGTTTGGGTGCCCAAGGTTGGCTGAAAGGACGTGCTTTTCTTAGTTTTTGCTGCGTCTTTGCGTTTTGTCTAGTAGGTCCAGGATGAGCATCAAGATGGTCAGCTTATGTCAGCTTTGTGAGGTGTGTTTTGTTGGTCTTACACAGATGTGGATGACAAATTGAGGTGTGATTGAATTATGGACCTTTGGGCATTTGGGGGGATGTCCCTGATTCTGTTCTCCATCAACGATGTGTTGCTGCAAGATCAAATCGACCAGAGAAATCCTACATTTCGAATGACTCGGGTTCACTCACAGAATCCATAGAACCTCTTTCTTCAGCAGAACGTTCGTCCCGAACAGGCGGCCCGGCCCGTGCTTCCGTCTCATGTTCACTAGGAAAGTGCGCGTTCGTTCACCTCGTTTGAACTCTGCGCGTGCTGGCGGGTATCTTGGGTCCAACTCGACACAAGAATTGATCCATGCCAGCGTGTCATTTTGGGCTTAACATGGGATCTCGACCAGCTGGTCCCTGGTCCCACTCAATGTGTTCTTGAAGCAACTATATATTGTTTTTCAAGTTGAGGCGTCAAATCTATGCTTCAATCAACACGTGCTTGAATAGGACAGCAATCCAATGGACGTTGCTAAAGCATATACACAAGCATGGAAGGCTTTCAAAGGCCACCACAACACAAGCCATCACAAACCTGTGCCTCACATGTTTTCATATCAATCATATTGCCTGTACGCCTGTACCTAAGTATCAAACCACTTGTACCCGAGTTGGAAGCCCAGAGACAAAGCGGAGCATCGGAGTATGCGTGCGTTGTGATGAGGGGACACCCTCCCAGCGGAACACCCGTCGAATGAATCGAACAACATCTCCCAGCGGTTTCTCCCATGTTGCAGGGTTCAGCGATCTCGTACGACTGCCTGTTAGGTCTGAGCTCGCATAGGCATTGCACGGTGGTAGGTCATATCTTGTAGTATTTATATAACATGCAGGACTCACACCGACACCGAGGTCATAGGTCATATCATATCATATCTCGTAGTTTCGGTCATCATATCACGTAGTACTCAAGTATTGTATCACTTGCCAATGACCGACACTTTTCCGCTTGGCACTGAGGTTGGGCCTCCCTCTTGTTGGGCTCCGTGTTGGCCTTCACTCTTCAAAGGCCTCGTTGTGTGAGTGGTCTGGGGGGCAATACGACCTCATGCAGATGTCGAGTGGTGGGTCTTTGATCCCGTGTATTCAATGCCGAGAGTTACAGTAATTAGATTCGTAGATGTGATGGAAACGGACCGTTTCCTGCCGAAAAGCAGAGGATTCCTCGTGATCTCAGTGCATGTGCATGTCAGGAGAAAAGGGAAAGAACACGAAGCTTACAGCCCATTCTGTGGGCGGACCTTGTCAGCCTTTGAAAGAGCACAGGCAATCACCTTGGGTGGAACAGCCGCTGTGAACAGCCTGAAAGAGGAAAAACACCAAGGCCTTTTGCCTTTCTAGCCAAGAGCAGACCATGTGATCTACCAAGGGTTCCATCAACTCCACAGATGGGTAACTTTGTCAGTGCAAAGCTTGTGTGACATTCCATCAAGCTTGTATGATGGCCAGGTCCAAAACCGATCCAGGCGACATGCCCCGGACATCTGACCTCACTACCATGACCCAGCTGGCCGTGTGCAGCGTGTGCAGGGGGATCTACCCTCTGAATCTGCACGAAGTGCCATGGGCCCGGCACTCAAGTGGCCAATGCTAATATAAGGCAAAAAGACTCAGATAATCTCAGATAGTTCAAAGATTTAACCATGTTAAAGGTGAGATGTATTGTGGGTTGATGATGTAGATGGCACACGAACCAAGTTTGGTGGTTCGGACACCCATTTGTTTAAGACATTGGTTTCAGGCGCCCTGTGGCATCGAACCTCTGAAACCAATGTATTTTTAGCTCATTCTATCCATCTGGACTAGAGTGCAGATGTGCCTAGTGCAGATGTGCTAGAGAAACCTTAGACGGTATACCGTATAGTTCAAGCAGAAAACACCACATATAGCTAGCAACACCAACAGACCTTAGGTGAAGTGCTTGACAAGCAGAATTAACATGGTTGCCCAGCCCATTTTGTGTGGATCTCTGATAACAAAGAACAGCAACTGCCTCTGGAGATCGCAACTGCGGCGATCTCCAAGGCCATGGTCCTTTCCTCATCCTTGAGCTCGGCAGTCTGGGTCTCGGCAGTTGGTGAATTGAATGGACAACTTGCTTGAACTTGGATCCTTAGATCCTCACCCTCTTGGGCGCACCAAAGGGATTCACTACCCAAAGAAACCAAAAGAGCCAGGACCTTCAAAGTGACCCTTTGATATGCCAGGATGAGGTCACTTAGGTCTGTACAAGGTCACAAACAGAGACTCCAAAGAGGTCACGAACTGAAGGTCCTGGAGGTTAAGCATGGTACCCTTAGCAGGGATCCGGTAGACTTCTTTTTGTTGAACGGTGGGACAGAACTGCATTCATCTATGGGTAGATAGTTCCTTTTCCCCATGAGCCCCAAGGTCTTGGATGGAGCATGTCTTGGGTTTGTGTCAAGAGAAAGGGAGACACCTACGGGATTGGACAAAGCCATAAGGAGGAAACAGCCTTATTGTCTCCAGATGTCTCAAGACACATTCTATGATTCTATGACTCGTCAAAATGCTCCCAACAACCTCCGCTCTTAAAGAGCCCCGAACTGCACGCCTCTTTCATCAAACGCCCGCCCACGTGTGCACCCGTGTGTGCACTGTGCTCCACCCGACGACCAGCCCGGCCCGTGCGCCCGACGACGTCCAGCTCGTGGGGCAACGACCCGGCTCAGCTCTTCAACTTCCTCATCAAGTTCGGCTTGTCGCGGGAGACGCCCGTGACCACCAGCCTCGGCACCCAAATAGGTGCCGGCTCTGACTGCTGCCTTCGGGTCGGTGGATGAGGGGTGACCTGGAAACTGGCTCAAGATCCAACACTCATAGATGAACATGGAGGATCCTGGAAGGAACAAGCATAGAACATCATAGAATTTTATAGAAAACCACAGGCTCCAAAAACATCAAAAAGATTGGTGTTCAGTTTCCACCATCAAGCTTACACTTCGAACTCCTTCACGACATGGTTCAAGTGGACAACCCAGTCTATGTCCAGCTTCTACAAGGGTCATGACCGTCATGACCCCTGCTTCCACAACCACCCCACAAGGCACTCGAGTTTTGAAGATCAAAGGGCATCAGTGAAGAGTCAATTGGAGCATGAATATCTGCCAGGGCCCTTGTTGATCTTGTTGGGGCTTATGAATGGATACCTGGATACCCCTGAAAAAAAAAAAAAAACCTCTATGGAGCTGTAAATAGACACCCCATGGCCCGGCGGCTTTGGTGTTGTGTTAGTATCTTTGAAATTGGTTGAGAAACTCCGTATATTCTGCTCCTCTCTTTACGCTGCGCAGGAATCCCTCTGAACTTGTTGGTGGATGTGCTTATTGTCCATAGCCACTTTCGTTGGTGCCAAGTGCCTGGGCCGCTGAAGAGCTTTTTTCCAACACGCGCGGATCTTCTGCGCGGTCCGTTCCGCAATGCGGTGCTCGGCATTCGGAAACACTTATACTTCAAAGGAACGCCCAGCTTCAGCTCGTGGGGGGGCCTCTTGAAGAACGGAACATGTGCTTCTTTGTCCTTCCGATCGCAGTTTGTTTGGGAGGTTCCCTGTAGGAACTTGAGAGTTGGGGGGACCTGGTAGGAGCTTGATTCATCTCAGGATCGGTCGATTCATCACAGTTTCAGCAGGATCCACGTGCATCCATGGGTAGTCTTCGTAATGACCTTTTTCTATTCAGGTCAGGTCCTATTTGCTAGGTATATTGCTTTTAGAGCTTGAACCTGTTATTTCATGGAGCCTCGTTCAACGTCGGCGGCGCACCACGAAACCAGGCTGCAGGAGTCCTCACCATGCTGCTGAGCTTCAGCGTGTGGCACCACTCCGAGGCAGGTCCGGCAGACACTTTCAGAGGTCTGCAGTCTTCAAGAACTGAGCGGGGCAAAAAACATCAATCAGACAAAGGGTTCTCAAAAAGTAAAAAAATGCATCAATCAAGGCATTTGTTAAGAGGATTGGGATCATTTGGGAACCTGAGCAACTGGAAACCAAGGGTGTCACTGTGCCTGGACGTGAGGCCTTGCTTCGTGCAGGCAAGGGGGGGCGCTGCAGCGGAAGCATGGGGGGGAGACAGAAACAGGTTATTCTTAACATTTTTGATTCTTGGAAAGACATGTTCATATAATAAGGTATGAAGGGATGTAATTTATTATATAAGGCTTAAATATATATATATATATATAGTGTTTCCAAGTTTCCTCAGTATCTTTGGAAGACTTTGGAATGACTGAACCCACCGAACGTTGAAACAAATGCCAGGCCTCCGTTCCTTTTTTTCTGTCCATCGGACACACGTCGCTCCAGTCGTCGACGACTCCTATCGAAGCGCCCCGCAGCGTCGGGGTTGCCGTCGTGGTTGGATCCCGGGCAAAACATCGGCGAGATCCGGTGTTTTTGTTTTGGTTTTGAGCACCCCCAAGCATCAAGGGCTCAAAGAACACAGCTAGTTAGCTGATTGCTTTTGAACCCGAGACTCTTTTATCTTAGTGCATGTTGTGTTGTTTTGGTTTTGAGCACCCCCAAGCATCAGCCATCATCAGCCCACCTCCAACGACGTTTTTTTCCGCAGTCCACTGCTGGAAACTCCTGAAACTTCTCCCGGTGATCCCGGTCTCGTCGAACCGTTGTTCTTCTCAGCTGGGCGTTGGGTACTGCCAAGTGGGGCGCCCTTCGCCTCCCTCCCCCCCCCTGCCTCTCTTCCCGCGCGCGTTCCCGCGGCGAAGCGTTGCGAAGCGGCCAGGGCCCGCGCGAGCGAAGGAGCTCCAGGAGTCCTCTGAACCGCTACTGAATTCACTCTGAATCGGAGCACGGCCGCGGCCCCTTCTCGAAAGCTGGAAGAGGGAAGCGGTCCCGCGGAGCTTGCTGGGCGGGACCGAAGCCCTTGGGATGAAAAAGGAACCGAAAGCCTTTGGACGATCAAAGGCGTGTTGGATCTGTCCTCTTTTTGTGGGTGGAAGTGCAGCATGAAACGCGACGTGACGTGCGAGACGTGACGTGCGCGATCTACAAGAGTCAAGAGTCTGGATCTCCGACGTTTGACCAACGCGATGGTTTGATCTGAGTTGTTTCGGAAGAATGGCCGGGAATTCATGTTGCTGCCTTGCCTCCTGCTTCAGGATACTTCCGACGTCTGATCGTTTTCACAAGGTTGCTAGTATACATCTTTGGAAAGTTAAGCTTTAGATGATCCCTCGTCCAAAACGCTTTGGACCGGGACAATACTCCATTACTTAACCTCATGTGGTCACCAGAAACGGGACTCGACGGATCATGCGCCGCTGAACAGCTCGGACCCGAGCTCGTGTGAGACCTTCATCCGAACAGCTGGTCAAGCTGAATCAAGCTGATCAAGCTGTTTGGACTGTCGCGGTTTCACGATGTTGTTTGTTGTGGATCATATGGAGCTTCAAATAGATGTATATATATATACTGTATGTATAAGTATTAGACTTATAACCTCACAGGCACCTATATCTACGTGGCTACTCAGGAGCGAGAATGAATCTGCTCTTAAGCTTGTATCATTTTGTAGACATGCCTTGAGCCTTGGGGCCTCGATTTTGATGGCTCAAGACCTCGTACTTGAACCCTCAACGATGCAGGTGACGGCTGTATCTGGCAAGACACTTGCCCAGCTTGATGAGGATGAGTTGCATTGCATGGTGGAAAGTGGTAAAACTGTCCGGAACCTAAAGCGACTTCTTTCAGTGCAGGTTGGGTGCTCAAGGTTTCAGCAAAGACTTGTGAGTGACAAAATTGCCGAATTGCAGGATGACATGCCTTTGAGACCACTGCCAAGTGTACAGCTGATAGTTCTGCCCTTTTGTGTTCCTGACGAGATTATTGAGGAAGAATTAGTCGAGTACTGTCGGGAGAATCGCGTGACTCAAGTTGAAAGACTTCTTCAGAAACCGCACAAGCCGAACGGGAAGGCTTTGTTTGTGGCAGCCTTCAACGGTCACTTGGAAGTTGTGCGGCTGTTGCTGGAAGCTGGAGCTGACAAAGATGCAGCAAGACCAGATGGGGCAACTTCTTTGGTAATGGCAGCCTTCAACGGCCACTTGGAAGTTGTTCGATCATTGCTTGAGGCTGGAGCTGACAAAGATGCGGCAACCACAGATGGGGCAACGGCGTTGTATATGGCAGCCCAGAACAACCACTTGGAAGTTGTGCGGCTGTTGCTAGAGGCCGGACCCGACAAAGATGCGGCAGCAGCGCCCGATGGGGCAACGGCTTTGGCAATGGCAGCCTTCAACGGGCACTTGGAAATTGTTCACTCTTTGCTCGGGGCTGGAGCTGACAAAGAGGCAGCAACGATGGATGGGGCAACGGCTTTGTTGGTGGCAGCCCAGAAGAATCACTTGGAAATTGTGCGGCTGTTGCTGGAGGCTGGAGCTGACAAAGATGCAGCAAACAGATTTGGGGAGACGGTTTTGATGGTTGCAGCCCAGAAAGGCCACTTGGAAGTTGTTCGCTATTTGCTTGCTGCTGGAGCTGACACAGATGCAGCAAAGACAGATGGGACAACGCCGTTGCTTATGGCAGCCCAGAACAATGACCTGGAAATTGTGCGACTGTTGCTTGAGATGGGAGCTGACAAAGATGCAGCAAGAACAGATGATGGGGCAACGGCTTTGCTGATGGCAGCCCTGCACGGTTACTTGGAAGTTGTGCGATCGTTGCTCGAGGCTGGAGCCGACAAAGATGCAGCAACGACAGATGGGACAACGCCGTTGCTTATGGCAGCCCAGAACAATGACTTGGAAGTTGTGCGACTGTTGCTTGAGATGGGAGCTGACAAAGATACAGCAAGACCAGATGATGGGGCAACGGCTTTGCTGATGGCAGCCCTGCGCGGTTATTCGGAAGTTGTTCGATCATTGCTTGAGGCTGGAGCTGACAAAGATGCAACAACCACGGGTGGGGCAACGGCGTTGTATATGGCAGCCCAGAACAACCACTTGGAAGTTGTGCGGCTGTTGCTCAACGCTGGAGCTTACAAAGATGCGGTAGCAGCGCCCGATGGGACAACGGCTTTGATTATGGCAGCCTACAACGGCCACTTGGAAGTTGTGCGATTGTTGCTCGAGGCTGGAGCTAACAAAGACGCAGCAACAACTGACGGGGAAACGGCTTTGTTGGTGGCAGCTCGGAAGAACCACATGGAAGTTATGCTCTTGTTGCTTTGCTAAGATAGACAGATGGGCCCTTCGTTTGTTTCCTTTGTATTTGGGATGTGTTGGGTTTCGGTTACTGCGGTCCGTCACGAGATGTGGTTCATGTATATAGGAGCAGAGGACAAAGATCGGCCATGGAGCGTATGGAGGCTGGAAAAAGAGGCGCCCTGGAAGCACGACAGTCAGAATCTGCAACTTCTTGCGCCCACTTCTTGTTTTGATCAAGAGAGGTGTCACCGAAACTGTATACTTCAGGTGTCACCTCAGTGCATCATTTGTTCTTGACACAGGCAGAGGTGTCACACACGGACAAACACCGCTGACAAACACGCAGCTCGGCGTGGTAAATCGATGTTAATTCATCCACGTGTCTCCATGTTCCAGAGGTTGAAGAACCCGGTGTTTTTCGACTATCCAATCAACAGTCGTAGTTGAGGTCACTGGATACCTCTCTTGATTCCTTGTTCAGTTCTGACTGCTCAGGCCCAACCCGCCCAGGGCGTTTCGTCCGACTCACGATTCGCGGAGGAGGCCTAACGGGTCGGGGGTCGCGGAAGAGATCACACGGCTAGCGATGCATGCGATGCATGTGGGAGTTTTCAGACAACTTCCCCTTCGAACAGAGCAGGAAGTTCACCCAACCAGGTGGCTAGGAGAATTGGCAATTTGGCGGAGCTTTCCGCCCGAAACTTGGACCTCGTTTTTGAAGGAACATGCTTTGCAAACCACCAAGCGCCTCCCCGGGGCAGTGGTTTTCAAGCCACAAGATCTGAAGTTGATGTGCTTTGTTGGAAAGTCAAGAGTCACAAATTCACTTGACCATGATCTCGGGCGGTGCGGTTGACCTGGACTCCAGACTCCTTGCCACCCTTTCGGGAGAAGCTTCATCGAACTCCAACGAGTTTCACTCACATTAGGACTTAACTTATTGTTCTTTTTGACACGACCAGAAGCCCACAACCAACTGAAATGGTTCTGTTTCGATGTCAAAATTCAATCAATATTATATATACCTCAAATATATATCTCCACAATCCATGACAAAAGGCATCAAAATAGCTCCATGTGAGGCCGTATCGTCCACCTTTGCATCGCTCCTGTTCTCAGCCAGGGGAGGGGGCCAGTGAGATGGCAGCCAACTGGGTCAGCCACCTGGTCAACCCCCCTGCCAAACAAGCGTTGTGACACCGACACTGTTGCGCATGACACTCCCCGCCAGGGGCAGCCAGCAGCCAGAAACGCGGAGAAGCTTCATGGAAAAACCGTTTTGATGGTCAGTTATATGATGTGCATGATCTTATACCAGCACCCTCCTGGCCAGGCTGTTAGTTGAGGGTTGTTGGACCCTGTCTCAGGTCGAACCATTGGTGACCCTAACAGGCTGGGTCCTGGTATATATATGTCATGCCCTTCTCGGAGTCTCAGAGACTAAGAGGTTGTCGTTGAACCAGTTGCCGTTGAAGCTGCCAGACGGAACCGTCTTGCTGTCAATCGTCAATCCCCGGAAAGTTCAAACGCTGTGCTGATCATGTGACAGTTGCACATGCCTATCCTTAGAATCCTTTCCGTACATCCACAAGCATCCAGATCTTTGTTCAGCACAAATCTTGGACAAAGCGGGTATTTATTAGTACCCTAAGAATCCGGACCCTCAAACACATAGGGTGTTGAGGGCTCGGACCCCTGCTATGGAGGGTCCGACCCCTGCCATGGAGAGCCCAAGGATTCTTAGGGTACGTTACTGGTTTTAGGTCCACTTGAAGTGTCTAGACCTGTTTCGGGCGAAGATGCTCATGAACCGAAGACGCTCGTGAACCCGTGCAACGAACTGAGTCCGCCAGGCCATCGTGGCCGCGAGGCGACACGGTTTGAGGCGACAGCGTGTTGATGCGTCGAACAACGTGGAGATGGCTGGATCATGTGATGAACTCGATCCATATAGACTTACTCTATAGGGATTCCCATCCAGTCGTACCTCCTCAAAAGCGTCAAAAGGTACTTGGACCCTCCTGGCACCCACGCCAAACACCTTCTCAGAGGCTACTGGGATCCATAGGACTTAGTTGCAACTGATCTATTTTGCTCGTCAGGATATGTTATGTTTGTTGCTATTCCCACTTATGAAGCTATCTTTGAGCGAGGAAAGCTCTATTTGATCATTGGTGTTCCCTCGGCCGCTCCTCAACGAACACGCGGAGCAAAACGCAGAAAGCTCGTTCTGCTCGGATCGTCGTGGGCCGTTCCTCGTACCTTCGTGGCTCGCTGTCTCGACCGACTCAGAGAGTCCACGTTCCGCCTCCCCTTCCGCCTCCGTTTCGCTCCGGGACGGGTCGTTGAGGATGACCGGGGTCCGGACACAGCGGCGGTTGCCACACCGGTTTCGGCGTCTTTCGGCGCGCGCGCGGTTTCGCCCGGAGGGAGATGGGTGGGAGGACGATGGGTGGGATCGGTCTTTGCACGGTGAACTATCGGTTTTTTTCATCGTCGTATTTGTTTCACTCTTGTTGCGTATACTTACTTGCTGTATCTTGCTGTTGTGTGTGTGTGTGTGTTTTCCGTAGAGATGGAATGTCTTCTGGATTGATTTTGACCATGGCTCAAGACCTCCTTTGAACTTGAACCTCAACGATGCAGGCTACGACTGTATCTGGCAAGACAGTTGCTCAGCTCGATGAGGATGAGTTGCATTGCATGGTGGAAAGTGGTAAAACTATTCGGGACCTAAAGCGAGTTCTTTCATTTCAAGTAGGGTGCTCAAGGTTTCAGCAAAGACTTGTGAGTGATGAAGTTGGCGAATTGCAGGATGACATGCCTGTGACACCACTGACAAGTGTACAGCTGGTAATCCTGCCCTTTAGTGATCTTGACGAGACTATGGAGGAAGAATTGTTCCAGCAATGTCGGGAGAATCACGCGAGTCAAGTTGAAAGACTGCTTCAAAAACCACAGAAGCCAAACAAGAAGGCTTTCTTTGCGGCAGTCCGCAACGGTCATTTGGAAGTGGTGCGACTGTTGCTCGAAGCTGGGGCTGACAAAGATGCGGCAGCAGCGCCAGATGGGGCAACGTCTTTGGTAGTGGCAGCCTTCAACGGCCACTTGGAAGTTGTTCGATCATT